ACATTTCATAGGCCTTTTTTGTTTACACTGTCAGAAATAAAATATACTATAATTGTATTTTAGCCCTTTACTGGGGCAGTAACCTCAAAGGTGCAACTGTACCCCTAAAAGGGAGCATATTAGTACCATACAAGTATGAATGCTTTAAGGGTAGATAAGTTACAAAGGTGCACCTTTGAGGGTACCTCATGAAAAATAAACATGGTGTTACATAAGTACTAAATGTAGTATTATTATTATTATTATTACCATTGTAAATTTGTGGTTACTGCAGTTTTAGTACAAATACTGAGGTAAACTGTGGTTACTGTAATAAAACCATGGCTAATTTTTGTAAAAGGCTGCCAGGCTGTTGTACCCCTAAAGGTGAAACTTTAGCATATTTTTTTCTGACAGATTTATTAACAGCAATTACAAAACATAAACTAGTTTAGTTTCAGTTTTAGTTTCAGTTTTAGTTTCAGTTTTAGTTTCAGTTTTAGTTTCAGTTTTAGTTTCAGTTTTAGTTTCAGTTTTAGTTTCAGTTTTAGTTTCAGTTTTAGTTTCAGTTTTAGTTTCAGTTTTAGTTTCAGTTTTAGTTTCAGTTTTAGTTTCAGTTTTAGTTTCAGTTTTAGTTTCAGTTTTAGTTTCAGTTTTAGTTTCAGTTTTAGTTTCAGTTTTAGTTTCAGTTTTAGTTTCAGTTTTAGTTTCAGTTTTAGTTTCAGTTTTAGTTTCAGTTTTAATTAAAGTTTAGCAGAATGAACAGATCACTTCCAGAACGCAGGCCAAAGAAAGACTTGGGCATAAAAGGCAATAAGGCATAATTTAGCCTTAGTGATGCAAATGTCTAGCGACACAAAATTAACGCATACCGAGATTGATTAAATTGTAAAAGTATACAAATATATGCCAAAATGAATCCGTCAAGCCTTTTTACTAAATAAATCTACACAAGGACTGCTTAATGTCATCTAATGATGTGTATTGAGATATTTAATATGACAATAAATGTAGCCTAATTTGGTTATGACGGTTAGATGTCTTTTTTCTTTTTTAACAATCATAATATATTGTAACTGTCGTGTCTTGCTCACTTTTCCGTGAACAACTGCGCATAAATCATAACTGGGACGAATGAAATTCAATAATAACGGCAATCGCATTTAACAGTAAAGACTCATATTTGAATATGTTCTTTTCATTTATTAAGAATTATAAGCGTGTTTATGATGTGATTTAGGATTTAGCCTATTGTCCGAAAGCCTGGCAGAGTGATCACAAGATGCTATGCTAAAGTTTTGTATTGTTTTCTGTTTTCAGACGCGTTCTCCTCTTTTTTTCTGTTAATTATTACGTTGCGCTGCGTGCCTGTTTTTCTTCAAAGCACCAACTTAGAATGCCTAATTTTGGTTTGCTTGGTTGTGTTACATGAGAAAATAAATAATTTTGCCTACCTGATGTAATAGATTTAATGCGGGTGCGGTTCGCGACTCGCAGTCTTTGTCAAACGGGTCTGGTCTGGTACAGAATTAAATTAGTGCTGCTGTTGGATAACGGGTCGAGTGTTCTGTTAAGTACTGCTGGTGCACGTTTACCAAACAGGACCCGTGCAGGACTCTGCTTTAAACTGCTTTGCGTCTCTCCGTCAGATAACCTCACGTGTGCGATGCGCCATTTACAGGTATTTCCCTAAACCGCCGGCGCCACACAGCTCATATATTTTTCCGCCAAGGGGTGAGAACGTAATGATTACTAAAACGATTACTTATTTTTGATAATTATTATTTTATTTCAGTTAGTTTTTCAATAACTCTTGTTAGTTTCGTTTCGTTTTAGTTTTTGAATTATTTTGCCATTTTTATTTTATTTCAGTTTACGAAATAGTTTTTTCATCAATCGTTTTCGTCTTAGTTTTAGTTTTCGTTTAATATATTTTAAAATGTAATTTATTTCTGTGATGCGCAGCTGTATTTTCAGCATCATTGCTCCAGTCTTCAGTGTCACATGATCTTCAGAAATCATTCTAATATGCTGATTTGCTGCTCAAGAAGCATTTATTAGGCTATTATTGCTGCTTTATATTTGTGTGGAAACCGTGATGCATTTTTTCATAATTAATTTTATATATAGTAACAATGTAATGTAATGTAATAATGTGGCAATGGTTTCTTAAGATCTACTTACGCTTCTAATGCTTTTAGGAAACGCAGCCCTATTTGAACAAGCACTGTGAGCCATGCATCAGCAGCGAATGCTGTCTGTGATTGATTGCTTCTGTCTTTCAGCATTTGCATATATTCCGATGAGCAGGAGAAATGGTTCTATCCAACACAATTATTCGCTAATATAGTCTATTTTTCCACCTAGAAGCTTATTTTATGCACCGAATTTCTTGATAAGTAAATAAAATTAATGTTTTAAAAATGCACTTTAGAATCGATATTTTTATGTGAGGATCGATCCTTTCGATACAACGTCAGTATCGATACTTGAGGATCGATCCGCCCATCCCTACGAAACACCGTCCTGTTACTCAGAGACGCAAAACAGCGCTGTGGCTGTGTTTGGAATGATTTTTGTTGGAAAAATAGAGCAAAAACAGAAAATATGGTGTCTAAAACGTAAGTCTCTTAATATTCACTTTTTTTTTATTGAACTGTTGTATAAAATCAATATCACATTTGTAATCATGCTGACTTTTGGAGAAAAAAAACGTCACTCTTCGTGTGATATTAACTATATAAAATTATATAAATATATACATTTTCTGCCCCATATCTTGAATTATGTGATCATTTTAAATGCATTTTAATAGACTGATTCATTCAGTGAAAGAACGCACTCTAAATGCATCTAAACAAAAATCTGAAATCTAAACAAAACAACAGTTTTATTGAAAATGCACATCCATTCTCTGCCAGCAGGTGATGCTTTTGGCAGACCTATAACTATTTCCCCGGTAACAGCAGAACACAAAGCAATGCACTATATGCAGCACCGGACTTTGAAAGTGCAGCGCTCATGAAATCATAGCCTTTTGAAGTTTAATCGTCACATTCAACATATCGCAATTCTGGTCTTTCCATCCCCAAATTTAAGACATCTTGAAATCATAATTAAGACTTTCTTGTACAATTTAAGACCCCACAGAAACCCTGTTTAAGGTAGGATTGTAGCACAGTTCTTCAGTGGTGATGTTTACTGTCAGTCTTCAAAGAATCTTAAATCCTTCTAAAACTTAGTTTATACATCCGCAAATTGGCTTGGTGTGAAAAATAATGCGTTTTTTTTTTTTTGTTAAACGAAGCATTAAAGGGGATGATGCTTTTTTAAAGATCATTATTTTGTGTATTTGGTGTAACAGAATATGTTGACATGCTTTAATAGGAAAACTTGAAACCGCATCATATGACCCCTTTAACACATGTTAGACCGCACCCCATAAACACAATCAAGCCTAAAAAAACAGTCAACCACCCTTTTAATATAAAGTTGCCAAGGCTTCAGACTGGATCTGTTAATCGTGAAGTTGCTGCTTATCTGAGCTGTAGATCCTGAACTGAGAGACTGAAGAGTGTCATTGTTCTCTACAGGTTGATGGATTGTGGAGTCACATATGAAGGTTGTGCTGCTCTGGCTTCAGCTCTGAGATCAAACCCCTCACACCTGAGATATCTGCATCTGTCTGGAAATAAACTAGGAGCATCAGGAGTGAAGCTGCTCTCTGATCTACTGAAGGATCCTCGCTGTAAACTGGAGAAACTCTGGTAAATCATCTCTCCGGATCAAACACACACACACTGGTACTCACAAATAAATATTTACAAATAGTTTATAGTTGTAGTTCTGACAAGGATGTAGAATCATCTGTAGAGTTTTATCCACGTCAGAAATTGTACCAAGTGTAGACGGAGATGAACCTTTAGTACATGTTTGTTAGTTAATGTTTTGATGGATTAGTTTTGATTAGTACATACCTGAACACATCATTAGTTCATAATAAAGTAATATTTAATTTAGGTATTAGTACATTAGATACTATAGTTTTAGGTATTAAGTAAAAGTTCTTATTGTTCCCTTTCAGTCGGTCACTCTCGACGTCACGTCGGATGACCTTCTCGGCTGTACAGAAGCAGATTGAGGCGTCCACCCGTCCACCGGCCGCAGCGCCCCAGCCTGCTCATCGCTGAGGGCGGCCCCCTGCATCCGCCCCCGCTCCAGCGCCACATTCGCTCCGGCAAGCGGCGCCGTGGAGCTGGGCGTAGGCAGGCCGCCCCACCCGTCCGGGCCCCCGTCAAATCTGGCGGTGAGCAAAAGAGCAAGAGGCCCCGGGACGGGCGACCCAGAGAGGGAGGAAGCTGCTCTCAGGGGATGGTGAAGGCACCTCTCCCTCCCCCGGAGGAGGGCCGGGTGGAGAATCTGGAAAATCTCGACGAAAGAGCAGTTTTCTCTGTCCCTGGGTCCCGGGAGGGTACGGAGAGTCGTGCACAGACCAACACCGGACCATGCTCATCCTCCTCCTTCGTCAGCTGGCAGCAGCGGGCGGTTCGAGAGAATCAACGAAGGCCCTACTCACGAACCCTC